TCCTCCACCTCGAACGTCGTAGGCAGTGCCAGCAGCGGTGGTCCTTCCGGCGTCGGCGTCCGAGCGGCGAAGATAAAGTCCTCCTTCCTCATAAGCTCCTTGTTGCAGTAGCGCTGCACCTCCTTCACCTTCCACCGAAGCTCCTCCCACCACCGCCCGTTCAGCTCCTCCCAGGCATCCTGGACGAAACGGGCGGTGTACTTCCGCGGCTTCGCCTCGTGCTGCCGGATGAGGTAGTCCAAGGCCTCGCTCCTCTCACCCCAGTGCTCGGCCCCATGCGCCAGACATACCGCCCATATGCCGTTGCGAGCCTGCCGTGCCCACTTCAGCATGTCCACGGGCTGCTTCGGACGTGGCTCGATCTTGTACTCTGTCGTGGGTACGTAGTCATCGAACAGCTCCTCTGGGCAAGTAACCCAGTCGGCCACACTGAGCGCGTGAGCGGCCAGCGTCTCGACCGACTTGCCTCCCCATGACCCCGACGCGACGCCGAAGGCGATCTGGTAGTTGATCAGGGTGGGCCAGCGGTGGTGCTTGAACAATGCCGAGGAATGCTCCGCCATGCGCAGGAGTGCCTTGACGAGCGCCCGGCCCAAGTCATCCGGGCAGATGGCCACTCGGAACCTCCCGCATCCACGCGCCGCCAGGACAAGCAGCTCGTGGTCCTTCGTGATGGACTGGAGGGTGCCCATCTTCCCCGCCGCTGCGTCTTCCGCCCGCTTGTTCGTTAGGTCGAGGTTGTACGCGATGTCCGCCATGACCTTAACCATTCCCTCGCTGTCCTTGTCCTCAAGGTCACCGAGTGCCCCCGCTGACCTCCGAAATTTTTCCGATGGGCCATAATCTTCCTCGTCGAAACTCACTCGCGATCTCCTCGCCGGGACCCCAAAGGTCGGGCCAGCCCGATGTCCGAACAGGTCCATGGGGGGCGGTGTGGGGTCATGTCCTGGTCGACCCGTCGGTGGGCCTCGGCCCAGCTCGGCCCGCACGGTGCTGCCCCGCAAGTCGACTCCTTGACCGCCCAAGTCGGTTGCCCGCCGCTTGGGCTCCCAACCTCGAGCTGACCCCGTCTCCTCCCTGGCTGGCCGGCCCGGCTCGAGCATCCTTCCCAAGCCGGGCGGCGTCTCCACCGCCGATGGGCGAGCCATGGGAGGTGTGGGCGGCCGCGCAGGGCCAGGGACTGGCCGTGCCAGCCCCTCCCGCCATGCCCCTCCCGCCGCCTCCTCCTCATGTGCCTGGCTCAGGCCGCGCCTCTCCCTCAGCACCTCAGCTAGCTGCCGCAGGTTCTCTACCTCATCGTCCGACATGAAGGAGCCGCGGCCCCTCTCCAAGGCTTCGAGCGACTCGACGATCGCGTCGCACGCCTCTCCCAGATCATCGAAACCTTCGGAGTGCTGATACCTCTCGGCCACGTCCAGTGGGTGATCCTCTCCGCTGGCCCTTGCCTTCAGGAGCTCCAACGCCAAGGCCGCCTCCCCTCGACGACGCCAGCGCTCCCGAGCCGCCCCATTCAGTAGTCCTCCCAGCTCTCCTCGAGTTATCGTGTCTCTCCACGGTGGCTGCGTTGGGTACGTCGGGGAAGTCGGGGGCGGGTGCCTCCGAGCGTGTCCTTCGTCTCGCCCTCCTGCCTCCTCGATCCCCCGCGTCAGAATGCACAGGGGATGGTCCTCCCTCCCCGTCGCGCCCCGCGCCAGCGCCTGAGCCACCGGGCTAGCTGTCTGGCCGTGCTCGTCCATTCCGTCGGGTATCTGGTTCACCGTCCGCACGATGATGGCGGGCGCTCCAGCGGTGGCAGCCTCGGTGCGCACCCGGTCGTCGATCACCGGCCCCAGGTTGGATGGGGCAGTCGCCTGGGCCTCGAGCCCCGGGATGCGATACGTAGTCCAGCCGTCCTCCTCGGCCGCCAGCTGGCACCCGTAGCAGTAGCACTTCTTCGCCATCTCCGTGCCCCGTGGGCCCCGCGCCATGGCCGTAAGCCACGCCCCGCTGGCCGACACCAAGGGGGGGATGGGCCTCCCAGCTGTCGGCGTAGGCGACCTCGACCTGTGCCGGGCGGGCTGCTCGGATGCCATTCCGGCCACCACAGGCACCGGTCCCTCGGCGACGGCGACAAGTCGAGCGGTCTCCTCATTCGCCAGGTCGTGCTCCAAACAAGTCAGCACCCCGCGGTTCAGGACCCGACCCAACGCATGGCAGCCGAGGTGCGCGCACTTCTTCACTCCTCTCTCGCGCTCGTGGGCGTTCGTGTGCTGCCAGCACAGGTTGACCACCTTCTCCGCCCCCTTGACATTCGACTTCTCGCCGTCCTCCGTGACCAGGTGGACTGGGGCACCTCGGGCTCGATCTCGACACTTCTCCTTGCACAGCTGGAATATCGTGTCACCCTCCTGGTACAGCACCTCGTGGGCCATACAGCGCTGGTGCTCCGGCTCCGACTCCGTCTCCGAGTTCGGGTCTTTCAACAGGGCGGCTGGGGTGTCTGCTCTGCTTCGCCGGCCGC